TTGGAAAAATCCCAGCTCATTCTTTTCTAAACAAAGGGAAAAGGTTGTTTTCAGCCGTGCAAATAGAGCTGGGTGGAGAGAAGAGGTGTTACAGGCATAGAGCAAGGTGCCTCAGAGACCAGACCGATTGTGTGTGTGCGTGTGTGTGTGTGTGTGTGTGTGTGTGTAGGATAGGGCTTCTCACCTATCTGTGTTGAAGGACCTGTTTTTTATTTTTTAATTTCCAGTTCATTGCAGGCCTATACTTTTGTAGAGACATTTGAAGAAAACAACTAGATAAATGAAATTGAGAAGACATACAAAAGACAAGCTCTGATTTTTATGATTGTATTAAACAAACATAAAATTACTTTGTCAGATTGCTCTAAATGTTTCTAAAGTCTTGCTTCAATTTTTCTACTTAACTTGTCACGGACTAGTAAAAATCAATTCACAGACTGGCACGAAGCTATGGCCCATACATTGAGTATTACTGCTGTGGGACAGGGAGGGGAAAGATGTGACAACTCGAGGAGTGGACCTTGGGGACATCTGGAAGGGCTGGTTCCTCCCAAGTCCCCATCATCAGTTTTCTTTCATGAGCTGTCTTGTCTATGTTTTGACTTTTTACAAGGGGGCATTATTTTATAGACGGAGTGGCAAGGACTTGGGTTCTGCTGGTACCCCCTGACTGACTAGTGAGGACCTTGAGGTTCTAGAGTAGCTGGCTTGTGCTTCTCTGTCCTCCCGGGGAGGGTGGGGGGAGTCTCTGATTATTGACAAATGGGAGAATCCCTGGGGTATTCTGGACATGGACTGGACTGGTATGAGAGAGATGAAGAGGAGGATGAGGAAGAGAAAGATGAGGACGGGGAGAGGTTGGATGTACTCCAATGAGGTCTGTATCTTCTAAGTAGACCAGTGCTTTTTAGACTTTAAACTTTAATGGGTATACTTATTGCCTGGAGATGTTATTGAGACGCAGGTTCTGATTCAGCACGTCTGGAGTTGAGTTTGAGCGTCTGCATTTCTAACGAGCTCCCAGGTGATGTCAACATGGCTGGTCCAGGGGAGATGCAAGATGCCTGCAGCTCCATGGTGCCAGGAGATCCCTGATAACACTAATGTCTCCTTCATCAGTCAGGTGGGTGGGGTCTGATGCAGTCCAGCATCTGTAAGCTGAACCTTACTTTCTCTGCTTCCAGAGCAGGGACGTATGAAGCTGGAGACAGGGTGTCAGAGGAGCAAGTATAACCAATCCATTATTGACCACTTTCAGTCATCAAGGAGGATAGACTCCTTGAACAAAGCAAATAGAACTATTAGGTGCTGCAAATCGTCGATATTGATGAACAATATGAAACCAATTGATAGACCTCTATTAACAAAAAAAACCAGATGCTGCAACCACATGACTTGTCAAACAAGTAAGGGTTAACTAGGTAACTCCACAAGCCAGGGCTCTGGGCCAGCCTCAGCTCTGTCGTTGGTAAACTGGAAGGAATCTGAACAGGAGTGGGGCTGTGTGGAAAGACAGAGCTCTCAGTGCCTGTGGGGCTCCGGCTCTGGTGTCAAGGATTCTATGACTTTGCCTGGGCCAGGCCCTTTTCTGGCTGACCTTGGTCTTGCTGAATCTCTGGGAGGCTCCTCAGCCCACTGGTCACTCATGCGCTCAGCAGCAGCTTGGAAGCTGGAAATGCATTCAGAGCTGCCCTGGGTTTAGCCCTCTGGGATGTAGAGTCATGCTCTTTCTTTTCTTTTCTCTTTTTAGTTTGAGAGGTGGGGCATATCCATTTTATGATACCCTTAATATAAAAATATTTTTACTATCATCATGTTTCCTCAGAACAAAAAATTATTCATTTAGTATTTCAAACACATGTAAGAAGGAAATGACAGGTTTCTTCCACCCACATGGGGGCTGTCACTGATAAGCCCACGGCAGTCCTGGCAGCACCCTAGGCTGTTATTGTCATTAGCCCATACTGTATTTAGCACTCACTAGAAATAGCATGCAGGTGATAGTATCCACAGCTATAGCACTACAGGAAAATGTTAAAAAACAAAACAAAATAGAAACAAAACCAACCTTATAAACTCCAAGTTCACCTAGACTGTAACTTCCCTTGTGACTTTCACAGGAAAGGACAACAGCAACAACCAGACCTCTGGGGTGTTTAAATCAATCAAATGGTGCTGCACAGCCAGGCTCTGCTCAAAGATGCCAGCGCCATCTTGAACACACCTCCATCCCTTATAACCACCTTTGGTCACTGGAGTTGCGTCTTATGTAACCAACTAGCATGCAGCATTGCAATCTTACATGATCACGTGGACAGTGAACAGTGGTCAATGTTGTCTTAAAAAAAATCAGCCTCAAAGACCACACAATCCTGAAAATCTCCCTGCAGCACCTCTCAGATAGTACTCATCAATATCCCAAGAACCGACCTTTAAGAACAAAATAGAGAGAGATTCAAAATGCTTTCCTGTTCCTCTGAGAGAACAATGTTTTGGGGTAAACCTGGTAATATTTTCTGCTGGCTAGAACCACTTGACAACAGTGCCCCTTTCATTCATTTCTTTTCCCTCTTCAACTATTGGCCTTTGGACTGAGAAAGGGGCCAGTGATGAGAAAAAACAGACAGCAAGGCAAAATTACAATGTGTTTTTTTTCTTTTTAAAATAAGTGCATACAAATACAGCTCGAAGCATTTCTGACTTGCCAAGGGCTCTGAAAGGGCAGCAGATGCTCTTTCTTTTCAGCATCAAGGTAAGCATATTCAAACGGACTGAGGACCATAAGAGAAGCGTACGTGCACACGCGCATGTACAAAGTTATGCACGAGTCATCTAATGACAGGGATGCATTCTGAGAAATGTGTTGCCAGGAAATGTCATCACTGTACAAACATCACAGTGTGTACTTACACAAAGCCAGATGGTACAGCCTGTTGCACACCTATGTTACAGGGTATAGCCTATTCTTTGTTTTTTGTTTGTTTTTCATTTTCTTTTTTTGGTATAGCCTATTACTTCTAGGCTACAAACCTGAATAATAGGCAACTATAATGCAATAATACTTTTGTAGTTAACATATCTAAACACAGAAAAGGTACAGTAAGAATACAATATAAAAGATAAAAAATTGGGAGGCCGAGGCGGGTGGATCACGAGGTCAAGAGATCGAGACCATCCTGGTCAACATGGTGAAACCCCGTCTCTACTAAAAATATAAAAAATTAGCTGGGCATGGTGGTACGTGCCTGTAATCCCAGCTACTCAGGAGGCTGAGGCAGGAGAATTGTCTGATCCCAGGAGGTGGAGGTTGCAGTGAGCTGAGATCATGCCATTGCACTCCAGCCTAGGTAACAAGAGCAAAACTCTGTCTCAAAAAAAAAAAAAATAAATAAATAAATAAATAAAATATACCTGTATAGGACACTTACCATGAATGGAGCTTGCAGGGCTGGAGTTGCTCTGGGTGGGTCAGTGAGTGAGTGGTGCATGATCGTGAAGGCCTGGGACGTTACTGTACGCTATTGCAGGCCCTATCAACACTAAGAATTTAGTGTATGCTTAGACTACACTAAATTCATAAAAATATTTTCTTCAGGCTGGGCATGATGGCTCATGTATGTAATCCTAGTATTTTGGGAGGCCAAGGCGGGAGGATCACTTGAGGCCAGGGGTTCGAGACCAGCCTGGCAAACATGGCCAAAACCTGTCTCTACTAAAAACACAAAAATTAGTCGGGTGTGGTGGCACATGCCTGTAATCTCAGCAACTCGGGAGGCTGAGGCAGGAGAATCACTTGAACCCGGGAGGCTGAGGTTGCAGTGACCCGAGATTATGCCACTGCACTCCAGCCTGGGGGACAGAGTGAGACTCTAGGTTGCATTAACCTGAGATTGTGCCACGACACTTCAGCCTGGGAGACAGACTAAAACAAATACGTTGTACAACTATACAAAATATTTTTATATAAGTTTTTTCCATTAATTGTTTTTTAACATTTTAAACTTTTTGGTGAAATACTAAGACATAAATAAACACACACATTAGCCGAGACCTACACAGGGTCAGATCATCAATATCACTGTCTCCATCACCTCATCTTGTCCCACTGGAAGGTCTTCAGGGACAGTAACACACATGGAGCTGTCGTCTCCTGTGATAACAATGCCTCCTTCTGGATACCTCCTGGAGGACCTGCTTGAGGCTGTTTTATAGTTAACTTTTCTTTGTTTTTTAAAAAATAAGAAGAAGGAATATACTCCAAAATAATGATAAAAATTATAGTAAATTCAGGGTGAGGCATGGTGGCTCATGCCTGTAATCCCAGCACTTTGGAAGGCCAAGGCAGGTGGATCACCTGAGATCAGGAATTTGAGACCAGCCTGGCCAACATGGTGAAACCCCATCTCTATTAATAAATACAAAAATTAGCTGGGCGTGGTGGCACGTGCCTATAGTCCCAGGTATTTAGGAGGCTGAGGCAAGAGAATCGCTTGAACCCGGGAGGCAGAGGTGACAGTGAGCCAAGATCGTGCCACTGCACTCCAGACTAGGCGACAGAGCAAGACTCCATCTCAAAAAAAAAAGTTATAATAAATACATAAACCAGTAACATATTTGTTTATCATTATCAAGTATAAGCTACTATACATAATTGTATGTGCTATATTTTTATATGATAAGCTACTGTACATAATTGTATGTGCTATATATATGTATATATATATATATATATATATATATATATATATATATATATATATATATTTTGAGACGGAGTTTCACTCTTGTTACCCAGGCTGGAGTGCAATGGCGCGATGTCGGCTCACTGCAACCTCCGCCTCCTGGGTTCAGGCAATTCTCCTGCCTCAGCCTCCTGAGTAGCTGGGATTACAGGCACGTGCCACCATGCCCCGCTAATTTTTTGTATTTTTAGTAGAGATGGGGTTTCCCCATGTTGACCAAGATGGTCTGGATCTCTTGACATCGTGATCCACCCACCTCGGCCTCCCAAAGTGCTGGGATTACAGGCTTGAGCCACCGCGCCTGGCCTGTATGTGCTATATTTTTATATAAGCTGCTGTACATCATTGTATGTGCTATATTTTTATATAAGCTACTGTACATCATTGTATGTGCTATATTTTTATATAAGCTACTGTACATCATTGTATGTGCTATATTTTTATATAAGCTACTGTACCTCATTGTATGTGCTACATTTTTATATAAGCTATTGTACATCATTGTATGTGCTATATTTTTATGACTAGCGCGCTGTACCTCATTTGTACCAGCATCACCACAAGCACGTGAGAAATGTGCTGTGCTGTGATGTTAAGGCAGCCATGATATCACTAAGCAGTGGGAAGTTTTCAACTCCATTATACTCTGCTGGGACCACTGTTGTGTGTGCAGTCCGTCATTGACTGAAATGTGATGTGGCACATGACTGTTTCATATATATATCCTGGTTACAGTGGTGGAGGGGATGATTACATATATTGGGGGCAACTGACTCTAACACATGCTTGCATGGAAAGAAAACATCTATGGCTTCTGTGTCCAGTGTCACTGCTTGAACTTAAGTGTGTCTGTTGGTGGGGGCATCTCCCTTTCCACTCCATTGCTTGGTCTTCTGCTATGAAGAGAACTCAGGGTTCAGTTTCTCCTGGTCAGGAAAAGGGCTCAAGGGCTCTGTGATGCTGGGCTTGGGAACTGAAGGACCCACAAAAAGAGGCAAGGAGCCCACTGTCCTCCCAGGGAGCACTGGAGACTGGGAATGGGTGTGTGTTGACAGGAAAACACCATCACTAGCAGAGAACCTCCTCAGAGTCACCAAGGGGATCGCAGAGGGTCCTGCTTCTTATATTCATCTCCTTGGATGAAACCTCACTGGGCTGCAGGCATCTCACCTCTGCATAGATGACACAGAACAGTCCTGTGAAAGAGTCGGCTCAGGATGAGGAGGCAGATGTAAGACAGAGGGTGAGAAAGGAACAGGGATCCCAGCTCACCTTTCTTCCCGCGGTGAACTCAGCAGGCTTGGCTGTGGGGAAAGAGCGCACTCAGGTCAGGTCTCTGCACCACAGCGAGTACCTCTCCTTCCCACCCATCCTGGCTGGCTGTCTTCTTCTGGAGAGCCAGGGAACCCAGCGGGAGAGATTCCTTTTACTCCTCCTCAACCTTGAATTGGGAGGCCTGGGTTGTAGTTCCAGTTGTACTACACACCAGTGGTGTGACCTCAGGTCCTGGGCAACCTGCCCTCAGTAAAGAGATTCCTTGGTTGTTCATTTCCCTACTGCCATTTGCAGAAAGGAGCAGAAACCCTAGGCCAATTCACGCCATTTTTGCAGACTAGCAATTGAAATAGCAGAGCAGGTAAGACATTAAAACAACAGCAATAACAAAATTCCCTGTTTTTGAACATCTATTACATGTAGGCAATTTTTAAGGGTTGTTTCTAGAACCTGGGTTCCATTGCTAACAACTTATAGTAATCTTGCAGAGCAGGCATTGTCTCTCCTTTATAGTTTAGGCTCAGAGAGGGCCCTTGACTTGCTGAGTACACAGTGAGTAAGTACATAAAGTCAGGTTTCAAACTCAGTTCTGAGACTCAGAAACACACACTCTTCCCATGATGCCATGTGGCCTATTTCTCTGTTAAAGGACCAGCCTTTCCCTCATCTCTGTGACCTGGCTCCGGTAACTGTGGCTGGAGTTCATGGTCTTCTTGACTCCATCTTATTGTGGGGACTGGCCTGTTGAGACTTAGACTCTGGAGCAAAGGAAGATTGCATCATTTTTTAAAAATATTTTCTTGTCCTTCCCAGTGTTTCGGAAAGGGCAAAAAACTCTGCAGTTATCCTGGTAACAGTGGTGGAGGAGACGATGCTGAGAATGGGATGAATGTAGTGGTCCTAGAGGTATTTGTGGTGAGTGTGCTATGGAGGAGGAGATGGTGGTGGTGGTCATTGATGATGGTGTGAAGGCGGAGGTGATAGTGAAGGAGGAGATGGGGTGGTGGTCATGGTAGCACTGAAGATGGTGTGAAGGCGGCGATGGTGTGAAGGAGGAGATGGTGGTGGTGGTCGTGGTAGCACTGATGATGGTGTGAAGGCGGAGGTGGTAGTGAAGGAGGAGATGATGGTGGTGGTCGTGGTAGCACTGATGATGGTGTGAAGGCGGAGGTGGTAGTGAAGGAGGAGATGGTGGTGGTGGTCCTGGTAGCACTGATGATGGTGTGAAGGCGGAGGTGGTGTGAAGGAGGAGATGGTGGTGGTGGTCCTGGTAGCACTGATGATGGTGTGAAGGCGGAGGTGGTAGTGAAGGAGGAAATGGTGGTGGTGGTTGTGGTAGCACTGATGATGGTGTGAAGGCAGAGATGGTAGTGAAGGAGGAGATGGTGGTGGTGGTCCTGGTAGCATTGATGATGGTGTGAAGGCGGAGGTGGTAGTGAAGGAGGAGATGATGGTGGTGGTCGTGGTAGCATTGATGATGGTGTGAAGGCGGAGGTGGTAGTGAAGGAGGAGATGATGGTGGTGGTCGTGGTAGCATTGATGATATGGTGAAGGCAGAGATGGTAGTGAAGGAGGAGATGGTGGTGGTGGTCCTGGTAGCACTGATGATGGTGTGAAGGCCGAGGTGATGTGAAGGAGGAGATGGTGGTAACAATGATGGAGGTAAATACGATGGTCTTGCTGATGGTGGCGGTGGTGGTCACAGTAATGACAGTAATGGTAAGGTGGCAATGAGAGTTGCAGTGATACTTTCATCATAGGTCCAAAAGTTCTGTTCGGAAAGGTATCAAGTTTGGCCCGAGATCACTCACCTCCACTCCTCTTTGAGGTTCCATGCACCGCAGAGTAGATGACACCTTCATTTTTCTCTTCCTGGTGATGCACTGGAGAAGGAATGAGGCTTAAAGAGGATCCACCTGACTCTCCCACCTCACGCCATAAGTGTCCTGAAGACATGGAGAGAAGCCTATCTGGGCTCTGTCATGGTGATAAGTGGCAATGGGGGTTGGTCACTAACGTGGGGGTAGCCATCATGCAGGAGGAGTCTGGACCCCTTAGCAATTTTTTGCAGCTTCCCTAGCCCTGATATGGTTTAAACCACAGGTTGACCAACTTTTTCTGTCAAAAAGGCAGTAAATATTTTTGGCTTTGTGAGCTGTACAGTCTCTGTCACAATGATTCAACTCTGTAGTATGAAAGCTCTCATACAAAATAAACAAATGGGCATGTCCGCGTTATAGTAAAACTTTATCTACAAAAATAGGCAGTGAGCTGGGTTTGGACCATGGGCCGTAAAGTTGCCAACCCTTGGTCCAAACCTTCCCTGCCGCATCTCCTGCAGCCCTGGCTCCCTTCCCACCTCCCTCTCTCACCACCAGCTCCACAGCGCTCCCTCATCACGCCCTCCTAGAAGCTGTTTGTTTTCCTTTCCCAGATGATTCCAATTCCTGAGACTCAGGGCTCAGGAACTGGAGTCATCTGGGGAGAGCTTCCTTTTTCTTACTGCCCTTAAGAAGCTCTTGGCCCACATGGGCAAAGCGCCATCCTGCTGGAAGTCCTTATCATTGGCATATAGTGGGCACTGCTCCACACCTGGAGCTGTGGGTGGTATCTGGGATGGAAAGGGTCCTAGGAGATACAAAGGCACAATTCACTGGGCATCTCTTAGAAGGCAGGTGGGACAGGGGACAGGAAAGCTGTGAGCAAGAATGGCAGAGAGGATGCTGGAAGTTTGAGGCTGGTTTGATTAGGAGGGCTGATTCACAGGTCTAGACGTGGTTGATTTTTATGGGATGTTTCCTTTAAAAAATACCCTAGATGGCTCCTTGGGAATCACAAACTAGGAGGAAGTAAGGTCAGCAAGAATGGATCACATTTTTGCAAGGAGAGGGCCTAGGCTTACCAGCAAGAATGGATCACATTTTTGCAAGGAGAGGGCCTAGGCTTACCAGTCAGGCCACTTTTCTGAAGGAAGAAAAAATAATAACTTTGACCATAGGCCAGGCAATCCAAATAAAACATAATCTTCCTAGTAAAGAGCCTACCAGTGACCAGCACATAGATTTCAAAAACACCCTGCTTTCTAATTCTTTGGTGTCTAATGTTCTTCACAAGCATCTTGCAAAGGTTGATACTTTTACATCCATTTCATAGATGAGGTGACTGAGGCTGGGAGAGGCGACTTCTTTTAAGGTCATGGTAAGTGGTGGAGACAGAATCTTAATCCAGGTTTCATGCCTTTTCTCCATTAGTACACTGCCTCTGAAACAGCAGGTGGTTTCATACCTTCAAAGGTAACTCCTGGGATAGGCATTGGGTCACATGTAGATTTTAGGACACTTGGTTCATGCCTGGTGCCCAAAAAATACTTACTACTCTAACAGCTGGAAAGCATCAGAATCACTGGGTAGAATATGTGGAAATGGCTTGCTTCTTCTATAAAATCAGGAGGGCATTTATGGACACCTAGACAGATCCCTGATGATTAAGCATTCTCCAATGCTCATTTGTCAGGGCTGAGAAATGAGCCCAGTTTCTGAGTCTCCATTCGATGAAGAGTTCCATGAGTTTGGCAGACTTTTGTTTTATGCGATGTATGACAACAGGTAGTAAAAGGAACACTTTTAAACAAGCACAGCAGAACCTGTATGTGCTACTTTGAAGTGGACCCCTTGCACGGCCATATCCTCATTCTCATTCCAGTAACACCATCCTTGGTCAAATGTTCTAAAAATTGACTTTGGACACCTCATCTGTTGACTGTCTTTGAGGGCAGTATATTTCTGTTTGTTGAAGAATGGCTTTGCTATCTGGAAATGGTTTGAGACTCTCAGAACTGGGTGTGGAGAATAAGGCTATTGATCTGGCTGTTTTTCCTGTGTAGCTATAGATTTGGACCTGAAAGTGACTTTCTGAGCAATATTCTAAAGAATATTTTGTGTGCCCGACATTCTGAGATATTAAGATCACCACCAGCCGTCCTGTTTGCATGGGAGATGGGCTCCTTGGTAAAATGGAGCCCATCTGCTCAGGATTGGTTGTGAGGGTATATAATCTCTACATCAAGAGGATGCTCTTTTGTTCCCTGTGAAAGGCATCTTCTTCTTGAGGATCTTTCACTAGTGACCACACTTTCACCACCTTGTCCGGGGCTGGAGAGGGAGAAAGTTGTGCTACGTTACCCTGCCTTTAATGCTTTGACTCAGAGGTGAGTGGACAGAAACAGAAATGCCTGTGTTACTGAGGCCATTTGGAGGAGGCTTTATGAGACACAATGACATACAACTCACAGATCTTACTGTCAAAAAGGCAGTAAATATTTTTGGCTTTGTGAGCTGTATAGTCTCTGTCACAATGATTCAACTCTGTAGTATGAAAGCTCTCATACAAAATAAACAAATGAGCATGTCCGCGTTATAGTAAAACTTTATCTACAAAAATAGGCAGTGTGCTGGGTTTGGTTCCCTACTCCAGCTGCCTCCCCAATAGCTCTGACACCCAGTCTTCCCATGATGCCATGTGGCCTATTTCTCTTAAAGGACCAGTCTTTCCTCCATCTCTGCCACCTGACTCTGATAGCTGTGGCTGAAGCTCATGGTCTTCTTGACTCCATCTTACTTTGGGGACTGGCCTGTTTAGACCTTGACTCTGGAGCAAAGGAAGATTGCATCGTTGGGAGGAGGTTTTATTAGACACAATGACATACAACTCACAGATCTTTGGTTTGTGGTTCCCTACTCCAGCTACCTCCCCAATAGCTCTGGGCCTCCTCTCCTTTTTCCCCACTAGGAAGGGATACCTTAGAGCAAACCTAGCCTGTGTTGAATCCAGAGGCAAGACTAGTGAGAAGGGTGGGGATAGGAAGTGGTATGGACAGAAGACTACAAATTCACAAGGGGAGAGGAAGTTGAAGTCTCGTCCAAGCCCCCACTAGGCGCCTGGTGAGGCGGGGTGTTGGGACTAGGGATGAGGAGCGACCCTTTCAGCTACCCTGATGAATGCAGAAAGGAATGCTTTGAACATATGACTGGGTGGTCTTCCTTAATTAGCAGGCTGGCCCAGCTCCTGGAAAGCTCATCCCAAATTTCTCAGCAGAGGGGGCTGCAAACTTAAATAAGCAAATAGCTTTGGAGGTCTATGAGAGCAATGACCTTTGTCCTAGACAAGTAGAAAAGAAAAACACTGCCCTGCAGAGGAGGAAGTGGGGTTTATCTGAATCTCTGTAGGCTTATTTGAAACCCTAGGAATGAAATGACACCAGATAGCTCTGGCACTGGTAGCCATTCCTTACATGTGCCTGAGGCGAGCAAAGGTTAGAGTTGGAATAAACACGTAACCATTTGTGAATGAAAGCCAACATTCATTCTTAATTATCACGACTGAGACAGGAAGAAGAAGAGAGTCTGGAATATGTCATTTGTCTGATTGTTTTCCTCCACATCAGAATTTTAGCCAACCTTTTTCTTTTCGGTGACTTTGATTACAAGAGTTAGAGAACGCACAGAGGAGAAAGGGCAGCCTGGGAACCTGCTGGTGTGATCTGCTCAGATTAGAATGAGAATTTACTGAGCACCCACTATGTGCCACTCTAATACATGAGGTGTTAGATAAATGCTCTTCATTAACTTAAACCCTTTCAGTATCCCTGGAGAGGAAGCTGATTTAGTGAGTCTTATAGTGAACTGGCTCAAGGCTATGGAACTAAAGGTACTGCTGGGGCCAGGCCGTTGCTCAGTCTTGTTGATCGTATTTCCTTTGTGATAGTTAATATCCTTTGCACACTCTGCCACAGTAAAGTACTGTACAACGTGAGTGTGTGTGAGTGAGCCTGTACATATGCACTGTAATTCTGTCTTCTTTCTCCTCTGCTAAGCAGACCAGAGCTCTGCTAGCCACAGATTGTCTTTCTAATGTAAAGGACATTGACATGCATCATGTTTGGCTTGTAGTAATTCATCGGTTTATGTTCTGTTCATGCCTGACTGTGTGGTCGTGTTTGTGAGCATCTCCGGATGACTGCCAGCATGTGAGTGAGTGCATGTGTGTGTGTGTATGTTTTGGAAGCATTAACTGTCCTTCCATGTGCCCCTCTGTGTGACACAGGGAGAGAAGTCCCTCCTCCCACCCCGCACCCAGAAGAGAGTGGCTGGTCCTGTCAGACTCTGGCTTTTCAAAGGTTAGGCAGGTAGCTAAGAAAGCCAAGGAGAGTTACTGACCAGCTTTTCTCTGAGGTCTCAAATAAACCAGAAGTGCGGCAGCAATGACCATCATGCCAAGCAGGCTCGCAGGCAGCCAAGGAACCAGCCGGTTGCTGCCTGTGGGAGTAGACAAGGCTTGAGAACCTGGGAGTGGGGAGAGGAAGGTGGCCATGAGCACTGAGGATAAAATTCAGAAATGCATTCCAGCCTGGAACAGGAGGCAGAATGACTGGTATTGGGGGAGCCGTCTGGCTGGGAGGAGCCTTGTAGGTGGGCATGAGGGATGGCTCAGGCGATGTCAGCAAGGATGACAGTGACACCGTGAGTGACCATGTTACTGCTCCCCCCCCAATGATGCTTCCCACTCCCCATGGACTTCAGTATTTCCCTGCCAGGCTCAGGGGACAGATGGACCAATTAGGGTCCACGCTTGGTCATGCAGTGGCTGCCATGGCACTGTGCCAGGCATGGTGGGAGGTACACAGAGGGTGAGATCTGACCCTGTCAGCTTGCTGGGGCTCAAAGCTCTGTTGGAGGACAAAACACACCCTTCAGAGAGAGCTTCTTGGGCTCACTCCTCTCTCTGGAGACTCTGTTCTCAGCCTTGCAGGAGTAGTTCCCAGCATCGTGCTCTGACTTCACTGCGAAGAGGAGGGAGGCGGTTCCACCACAGGGAGCTGAGTGGTTCCCCACAATCTTCTCATCAAGGTAGAATGAATACCGGATCGGAGGGGAGCCCCTCTGGGCCTCGCAGAAGAGCTGCACTACGTCCCCCACAGCAGGGTCAGTGGGCCCATGGTGCAGAGTGAGCACAGGGCGGGACACAGGAGCTGGGACATATATGGGGTGGGAGGCTTAGCTTGACCACCCAGGACCCTGGCTTCCACCTCTCCCAGGGACCCTTCTCCCAACTCCCTTCCTCCCAGGGGGTCCCACTGCCTGATGCCCAGACCCCTGGGGGCGTCTCACTGCACTCGTGCACTTACCCTGCACTCTGACCTCCAGCTGGGGGCTCTGCTTCTGGACCTGGCCACCCTCAGGGGCCGCCTCACACCAGTAAAGCCCAGAGTCTCCACCCTTGACTCCTGGGATGCAGAGTTCTGGGTGGGGGCCCCTGTCCTGGAAGGTGCGGCAGTCCTTGTGGAAGGACAAGAGGAGCCTCAATGCTGACCTCAGGGGGTACAGCTTTGTCTGACATCTCAGGGTCACCAGGCTCCCCTCTCGGGGCTCAGGAGAGGGGACGGCACTCAGCTCCGGAGGTGGGAACAACTCTGGGGAGATGCAGGCCCAGGGCTCAGGAGGCAAGTCCAGGGTGATGAAGCCCCAGGAGGCTGAGGCCTGAGCTTCTACTCATCCCAGGCTGCAGCCCGGGGTTCCTGATGGGAGGCAGTTTCATCCCCAGGACCTGTCCTCTTGTCCTCACCCACAAGCTCTGAATTGACTCCCTCACAGCCAGTGGGGGCCTTCGAGGTCCTCTAGTCCACACAGGCGAAGGGTGAGCCTGGACTGGTCCATCCTCTTCCCAGCACCCCCTCCCAGGGATCTCCCTGCTCCTTCTCCTGGTTCCAGATGTGTCCCATGGTAGGGAGGGAGACATTCATACAACATCTTGGGAAACCTCAGGGCCCCACACATTGGCCCAGCATGAGGGGCAGCCAGAGACAACGGTCCTGCCCAGAGAGCTACTGACCTCTAGAGACAGGACCCCTGAGTGGTACCTCCTGCCCCACAAACTCCCAAGCTGGTGACTCACCTTGGACTTGAACCATGGCAGCCTCTGAAGTTTATGTGAATGTCTGTGGAATATACATCACCTGCCCGTTGCAGCGGTACTGGCCATGGCTCTGCACTGTTGCTGCTCCCATGGACAGAGCCTGCTTTCCTTAGAGAAATGAAGGACTTTCCCATCTTTGTAGAAATTCACCTGAGACAGTGGTGCATTCTTCCATCCCTGACATTGCAGAGTCAGGGCCTTTCCTTCAAATACAGGGTTTGGCCAGGCTTGGAGGTACAGCCAGGCTGTGAGACACAGAAACAGGGAAACCCTGGAGCAGCAGGTCCCATGGGTCACTTCTCTCCCTCTGTCCCCCAGCCTAAGGCCTCTGCTGGGGATGGAGGCCCTTGGATGGCACCGGTGCATTGTCTCTGTCTCCAGTCCTTCATGCCGGCCAGGGCAGGGCAGGACTGGACTTCCTTCACTCCCTCTCCTTCCTTTCCTTCTTTCCTTCCTTTTCCCTCTTTCTCTTTATTCCTTTCCCTTCCCCTCCCATTCTCTGTGTCTTCTCTCTGGGTTTCTTCCTACCCACCCTCCTTGTCTTCTTTCTATCGCACTTTCCTGTCTGCCTTGGCAAGCTCGGCTTAATTGCATTCATCCTGTTCGTTGTCTTGCCTCATTCCTCCTGCCTCAATTCCCTCCAGCCTGGACTAACTTCTCATCCTCTGGCTACCTAGTGTGACACTTTCTTCAGCCTTCACTTCTGATAATAGTGGCATCTCTGTCCACCAGAAAGCAGTTGGTAAGGAGTGTTGGAGGTGTCACAGCCTTAGCTGTCTCCTTCCTGCCTTCCTCATTGGGTTTTCTGAGGCCCAGACTCCATCTCCCCACTCAGCAGGGTTTCAGCTTCCACCACTGTCACGGAAGGGATCTGTTCTCTCTGTCACTATTCCTGAAATGTATTCTGTGCCCTGATGTGAGCAGAAGAGCTCCCAGGGATCCACCCTCACCTGCACAGCAGCAGCAGCATCATCTCTTTGATAAGCCAGACACCCCCGTTCCCAGACAGCCTTCTGAACAGGCCTGATGGCCTGAGAGTAATGAGGAGTAAGCAGTTAGGGAGCCCCGGAACATCCTGCTCTTGCCTGGATCTTCCAGATCCTTAGAACCCACTCTCCTCACCCTGAAAGTGATGATGCTCACTGCATTACTAAATGGTAAGCTTTGCTCCCACAGCTGCTTTTTCTAGCAGCACTAAGTGTTGGTTTGAATTCTGTTCCCCTGGAGTCACAGAGCATATCCTTGGAGGTCAAGATTTCATAGATGAGAATTTTTCCTATTTGACAGAAAGCTCCACGGAGGTCAGTGGGACAGAATGGGGTGGAGGGAAGGGGATCCGAGGAAGGAAGGAGAAGACTGATCAGCAGACAAAGGTGCCTGCTTCTCTGAACATAAAAGGAAGGAACGGAGTCCCGGTATTGTTGAGTTGAGAATATAGGAGCTTCAGATCCACATGGAGAAAAGACAGAGGCTATAGTCACTTTTAAGGAAATAGAATAGAGGTCTAGAACCCCACTGCTGAGGCTTGGGTCACCCTAGGACTGCCCTTGGCCTTAGACTAGTGGAGTTCCAGGTTTCTCCTCTTCCTGGGAACAGGCCAAGATCCCTGAGGAAGAGGCCTACTCTGGTGCCGCTCTGCAGATGTTCCTGGGGGACCCCATGGCACTGTCCTGCTCCCATCCAGTAAGTTTTGGCTCATAGACATACTTTGAGCTAGAAGAGACATGGACAACACTTACCAGTTTTCCCAACACAGGGAACTACAAGAGAACAAGTAACACAACTAGGTTAAGTAGCAAAAAGAACTTTCTGACAGGGAGCCTGTTACTTCAGCAATGGGGACTTACACCCATTCAACCAACCACCCAAACATCCAACCACTCAGCCACCAAACCACCCACCCACCCACCCACACAACCTTCTAACCACCCATCATATAGCCACTCAACCACCAAGCAACGCAGCCATCAAGCATCCAACTGTCCATCTATACAGCCACCCAACCACTCAGCCATCTAGACATCCCAGCAACCAATCACCCAACCCTCAACCATCCAACCACTTAACCACCCAGCCACCTACCCATCCCATCATCCAACCACCCAACCATCCAATCACCCAACCACTCAACCATCTAACCATTTAACCACCCAGCCACCTAGCCATTCCATCATCCAACCACCCAACCACTCAGACACCCAGCCACCCAGCCTCCCAGCCACCCAACCACCCAGCTCTTAACCACTCAGCGTCTAAGGTAAATCTCCCTAGAACTCTTTGCCCTATATAGATTGAATGCTGCCTTCTCAGACAGATCTTCCCTGGGATCTCAATCAAAATAATTTTCCCCAATCACTAAAATGATGCCCCATTATATTATCATCAAAGCACTTATCCCTATTTGAATTTATCTTATTCCTTAAATTGCCTACATGTTATCCCTTGTCTCTCTGCCTGGAATGTAAGCCCCATAGTAGTGGCGACTCTGCCTATCTTACTCATTGCCATATTTTCTACGCCTAGGACCTGTGCCTGGAATATAGTCTGTGTTCAGTAAGCATCTGCTGAATAAATACATGAATGCTTTTCTTTGAATCCACTTGTATGGGGTGGGAAGCAAAAAGTAGAAAACACAGGACTAGACTCTTGCACAAATGTGCCTGAGGGTCCTGCCACCAATATCTACAGGAGAACCCATACAGTAAGGGCAGAACCTGATTCCTGTGGTCTTATCTGTCCACGGAGCTCTGGTGAAAAGAGTATGGAAGTGATCAGACTGAGGAGGCAAAGCTCCCTGAAAGAGTAATCTTTAAAAGATGTGAGACATTGTCAGGCTGCATGGATGAATGAGAGAACTACAGACAAGCCAGATGCACCCCACAACATGCTTGCATCTTCTATGTGCTGCATTTATGCTTTTTTTTTTTTTTTTTTTTTTTTTTGAGACGGAGTTTTGCTCTTGTTACCCAGGCTGGAGTGCAATGGCGCAATCTCGGCTCACCGCAACCTCCGCCTCCTGGGCTCAGGCAATTCTCCTGCCTCAGCCTCCCGGGTAGCTGGGATTACAGGCACGCGCCACCATGCCCAGCTAATTTTTTGTATTTTTAGTAGAGACGGGGTTTCACCACGTTGACCAGGATGGTCTTGATCTCTTGACCTTGTGATCCACCCGTCTCGGCCTCCCAAAGTGCTGGGATTACAGGCGTGAGCCACCGCGCCCGGCCCTGCATTTATGCTTTTAAATGAGTGAATGTGTGAGGAGAATAGGTGGCCTGGGAAGAGAGACCAACTTACAAAATGATGACAGATATGGCTTAGATAGGTTTGAATAGCCCAAGCAATGGAAGACCCTAAATTGAAGGGCATAGTTGGATACGAAGCAGTGAAGGATATTCTGGACTTTGGGGCAAGGGGTGAAACAATGAATGAATGTAGGGCTGAGGGCAGTGAGTCCAGCCAATCCTCACACATTTACTTGTGTCCTTCATTGCTGACACATCCTAGGTATTTTGCATAACACCAAAAAAATGCAAGATTGGCTTTGGGAGGGGTGGGTGAAAACCCTCCAAGGGCAGATGTTTGGCTGTGCCACATGGTGTCATCTTTACTTTCTACACTGCTTTGGACACAGATGGAATCTTTCAGCTCAATTCTCTATTCAGCTCAGGGTCAGCTCAGTCATAAGTTCTCAAGAGTGTACAGAACAATGAGTCTTTTCCTTATCATTCCCCTATCTATGAGCTTGGTGTAGTGGAAAGTATGCAGAATTTGGAATCAGATGACCTGGACTTGAGTCTTGAATTTCATTCTTTCTGTATGACCTTGAACAAGTTGTCTAAATTCCAGAGCCTTCAATATCTCATTCTGTCATATCACATAATGGAAATAATAATAGTCATTTTTTTTTTTTACAGTGTAGTTGTGAAGGTTATATTGACCCACTGCCTGGGAAAGTGGTTACTACATTAACTGAAAGCAGAAAGAAGGCCTGACCCCAGAGTGACGGAGACCTTTCTCTGTAGTTATGTCTTCTTTCCCTCCCCCTCCTCACCAGAAAACAATTTTGCAGCTACAAAGTGCTAAACTAACAGGGTTGAGGCTACCGAAACCAGAAACAAGAGAGAAGGCACTCAGGAAGCATAGATGCACTTAAAATGAGCTCATGCCCCCAAATCCCAATGACTTGCTGCTCATGATACTGTAAGATTTTGGAGGCGGGATTACAAAATTGCCTCCTGTAATCAAAACAAGCAGCCAACTGGGAACATACACAGTGGGTGACACCTGCTCACAGCAGTTCCTGCAATGAGGGCCGGGAACCTCTGCCAGCTATATGCTGAAGATGAGGTGACAGTGTGTTGAGGTGGCCAAGAGTTACTGTCAAATCAAATTGTATAATAGAGCTGAATAATGAAGGCAGCAGCCTCTCCCCGCCCCACCAACTCTGGGAGCAGGATAATTTCCTCTTAGAGTGGCTGGGGCATTGAGAGATATTTATCTGGGAATCATGCAACAGAGGAGGTAACCAAAATACTTGGTGGGCTAATCTTAAAAGAAGGGAGAGACTTATTCTGAGTCACTTTATAGGACAGAAATGGAAACTAGAGGCATCAGGGAGGCAGATTTGAGCTCAACACGAAGAACTATCTTACCACTGAGATCTACCACTGTGGGACATGCTGCCGTGCCAGGCTGCAGCAGCCACATTGCTGGGAGGGTTGTATGGGACTCTGTGACACACTCCCGTGGATGCTGTGTGAATATGCGGGGCCAGGCTCCAGTCGCAGGACGGAAGTTGTCTAATGTTCAGCGCAGAAGAAAATGAAGACTCAGAAGAAAATTTCCCAAATGTTAAATACATATTTAGAATTCATCCAGGTTCCAGCATGTTTAGTGTAGGGGTTTCTAGCCTCCTGGAGCCCTGACAGCCGATAACAGTAATAGCCACCAACTTATTGTGACCACATCCTGCTCTAGAGAGCAGAAATAGCAGCTCTACACTCGCAGTACGGGAAATGTTCCTACACACCCAGCCCCAGGGCCTGTGTTTTAGGCTGTTTTTCCCTGAGCATCAAGTGGGGCCACATTTGCAGGTGCTGGGTTCTCCATTACGCGGTGCACCAGTCAGCTGGTCACTGACTCCCTTCTCTCCTCCTTCTCTGTCTGGCATCCCTGTCCTGGGTTCCATGCTGGGATAGTCACAGACTGTATCTAGATGAATTTGCAAGGCAGTGCCAACTGCCCCGGGAGCCTTTTGCCTGGAGTATGTCCAGGCACTAGGCCATCCCGCCCCTGCCTCAGTGTGAGCATTACACCTTTTCATTTGTCCAAATGCCCACCCAGAGAACAAACAGAGTAGCATGCTATGCTGGAGAAGGGACAGGCATTTTCCTCACAGGGTCAAATTCTCAAAAAGTCTGTTCAGGAAGAGGTTATATTTAGGGACAGTTATGCTTTTCCAGTTCAATGAAAACAAACAGCAAACAAGCCATTAGGATCAAGAATTAAACAAACAGTAGGTCCACTTGGAAACTATAAAGTGAAACAAAATATATGCGCAAATTATTTCTTTTAGATATAAGGGAGGTACACTGGCTGAGACTGAGCTGGATCTGGGGCAGCCCAGTGACCCTCCCGTGCAATCCTCTACCCTTAGACCAGCTCCTTCAGTTACAAGTAACCTGCATGAGGAGAAATGAAGAGAAGAGAGACCTGGCTGGGATGACGGATTTGATTCTTCAAACCAGTCCGTGGATCTGAAATAGCTCCCAACAGAGAGAAGATGTAGGCAGAAGAGAGACTGTCAGTTTGAAAAGGTCTTTGGTTGCTCAGAGCACAGGCCTTTCAACCAGGTGAGAAGTCTGGCCATTGTTAACTGGTTCTAAGAAAACGCTGAGGCTCCATAAAAATATGTCACCCTGTAAGATTCCACCTCCCGTCGCTAAGCAAAATGCTAGGGACTGTTTTCCCTCATTTCCCTGACCCCTGCCCTGTTGCCCCCAGCAGCCTCTTTCCCTTCTGTAACCTCAATTTCTTTTTGAGGCAACTCTGATGAGTGTTTTAACCCGATGTCATAAGGTAGAAATGTCATTGGGATGTAAGGGGGCCTTGTAATGTGTTTTTCTGCCTCCCTAATTTATCTCTGACACATCGAAGGTCTGCCCTGCCAAGAACCCAGGACAATTGAATAGGAGACACTGGGGAGACCCTCGTATCCCAGTGCCCATCTCTCCCGAACATGCCCAGGTGCACCCACCTGTCTTGAGCTCCAGTCACAATCCCACTGGAATTGGGAAAGGGATGATGAGGAACTTGGTGTCTCAGGGATGACTTATAATCCTTAGTGCTCTGGGAGGGGATGCCCATGCTCGGTGACTTACCGAAGAGCAGCACAGCCGTCCAGAGCAGCATGGGGCCTGTCCCGGCACAGAGGAGGGAACACAAGTCAGATTCAGGCAGGGGCAAAGCTGGCAGAGAGCAACCAGGCCTCAGGCCCGAAGGTTGGGTGGGTGGCCTGAGCTGGGTGGTACAACAGCTTGATAGTTGAAAAGGAAGTGGGAAAGAAACTTAAAAAGCTCTAATTGGTGTTTCCTCTTTGGTTGAAGAAGTATTACATGAGTACATTTACTTGAATGTGAAGCACGAAGGAGTCAGTAAATCACTAATAAATCCCTGACATTTTCTGTGGCTTCAACAAGCCCATGCCAGGGAACCGGGATGGACCATGGCTATGGGACACCTCCATTAGAAAGATCCAGAGTCTGCCCGAATTTGCTTGGCCTCAGCATCGTTCAGCCTGGGAGACGGTGCACTACTGGAAAACTAAGCTCATCTACGCCTTGACCCCCGAGTGACCTCCCAGCTTCGGAGGCCCTCATG